GACACACAGCTACTGCCTGACAATTCATGGCAGTAGGGAGAATGAGGGGAGGAAGCAGGGGCTTGCAGCAGAAAGAAGGCTGTATGGATGTATCTCTCTTCCAGTCACACCAGTTGCTTCCTTCATGCCCTTTTATCCATTGTGATTGTCACTTTGAGATGTGATGCTACCTTCATAGTTCTAGATGGGAAATGTAGACTAAGAAAGGCAGGGGCACCAACACAGTAGGTCTTTATAAACACCCTTTTTTCTTTTCAGTTTTGTCTGGGTAGAGTTTTCAGCTTCCTATTTCTTACACCAATAAGATTTAAATGATAATTAAAAAGTACAGTGTTTTTATTCCTGGGTATTTTGTGACAACTCAGGCCAAAACCCAAAGCAAAATGAAGAAAGATGGCAGGTTTGGTGCGAAGGGATTGTTAATTTAAGGCAAGTGTGATAAAAGTGAAGAGAGACAGCTAGGTTATTCTATCAGTTCTGGTCTCTGTGCGAAACTAAGGACTTGTATATTCTGCAACTTGTAGCCTTTTTGAAGTGCCAGTGAACCAAAAGACAAATTTCTGCATGACGCCAGTGCTTTCTAATAGTGTGTGTCTTGAAAAATGGTACTGAGTTAGTTGCTATTTTCAATTAACTCTATAAGTGAAAATATAAATGGAGACAGAGGAATCACCACTCCATTATCTATTCACCTGTTCACTGGAGATTAATTTTCAAATAAGCTTAAGACTATTGACTGTAACATAAACCCCAGATAGAAACACAGGAAAAATTAGGGGCTAGGCAATCTTTCATGCTCCATTTATCCTCCTGCATTTAAAACTCAGTCTAAAACCTCTAATATTTTGAGGAAATAGAACTTTCTACTCCCCCCATCCACCCCAGAAACAGATTCCCCATTAGTTTTCATATCTGCAATGTTCTTCACCTATTGAAACAAAGATACTTTTGCCTTCTGAAGATTGTGATTTAGTTAGCCTATAGAAAATATAGCTAAATATATTTCTGAGCAAGTATACCCCATTTTGGGGATGCTACAGTTACTTGGCCTTTGCCTGTTGACATATCCCTGAAAAAATACTGAAAAAGAAAGCATAGGTATAAAACAATGAGGAAGGTTGTAGCTATATATATTAAAAATACTTCTGTAGATGTAATAGATATGCTAATGCAGGGAAAGCTTGCATTGTATGGAGTAGAGGAAAAATGCAAGCTCATGTGGAGAGGTAGTAAATGTAAAAGCACAGCCTCTGCTTTGGGAGGGAGGTGGAAAAAGCCTTCACTGAACCTGTCCTGGACTCCCTGGCAGGACAGCTAAGACCCAGGAAAAAAAAGGCAAAGTTCTCTTCTGCCCATGGACACAGGGATTCCCTGGGACTGTGTGTTTGAAGGGGATGCTTGGAGCTGCTCAGTGCCACCTTTGAAACAAACTTTGGCCCTCAGTCCTTGAGCAGCAAAATTCAGCCACTCTTGCCTTCAGGTCAGCTTTTTCTCAAGTGGCAATCAGCAAGACTACACAACAAAACTGTGTAAATTGATAGTGTACTTGTGGAGAGAAGTTCTTGAGCTATTTATTGCAATTCCACCTGCCTTCACTCACTCCTGTGCAGAGATGTCAAAGATGTGAACAGGAGATGGAAACACAGTGGTTCTGAGCTTTTGCTTTTCTTCTTCTCCTTTTTGGACAGCAGGAACTCTAGCTGCTCTATAGTCCAGGCATTTTCTGCTGGGCACACTATGGAAAGGGGTGTGCAACCTCCCAGCCATTGCCAGATGACAAAGCATGTGCATCAGGAATAGATACAATACCCAAAGAGGCCTGGGCACTGGCATGACCCATTGCTCCTCAAAGGTGGTGGATTCTGATCCGTGAGCTTAAAAGTGATTAGGGGACAACTGCCAGACCTCTTAGGCCTTTCTTCTTCAGGAGACCAGGATAAAAGGGAGCAGGGGAATGACATCAGCTATAGATTACATTTTTGTTTCTTTATTAAAAATACTCTTACCTTCACTTCAATCTCGTAGCCTAAAATTTAACTCATTCTAATATGGTGGAAACTACTGAGTAATGTTCATAATGAGCTCTGCAGATACAGCAACACCAAATTTATATTAATTGGTTTTGTAAAGAAAGCTTTTGGGGTATCTGCAAGTTTAAACATTATGGAGATCCAAAGAGTCTCACTAAAGCTGGACAGCTGGAAAAAAGCATCAAGTGGTAGGACAGAATTTTTTCCAGGCAGGCTCTGTCCCATGCTTGTCTTGCAGTGAGAGGAAGTCCACAGTTTCTATTTGTTTCTAATACAACATTCATACTTTCCCAGAGAAGCTGGGGATGCCCCATTCTTGGAAGTGTTCAAGGCCAGGCTGGGCAGGACTTGGATCAGCTTGGTTTAATGGAAGACATCTCTGACTGCAGCAGGGGGGATTGGACTCGATGATCATCAAAGGTTCAGTCTGACTCCAACCATTCTTTTCTCCTAATCTGACAGTACTTCTGGCCCTTTTTTACCCACTCTCCCAAAGCTGTTAGGAACCTGAAGCATGTGGAAAAACAGGGAGTTTCAGTAATTTTCTCTCAGATGGACACCAGTGCCACTGATGTTCCACAAGTGTCAGAAATGATGAGCCTGGTTCTTAAGGATTTGAGCCCTTTTCCCACCCTCTTGCCCAGAGAGCTGTGGCACACACAGTCAAGGCTAAAACTGTGCATGCCTTGCTTAACCAGCTGGATGCCACTAGATTAGAATACATGACTGAGCTCTGTTCGCCTTCTGAACTTGTGCTTTAATTTGGGGCATTTCCTTTATTCAGCTGCCAGTTTTCACAAAACATAATTTTAAAATTTTTTTTTCCCTTACACCAAATGTGCCAAAGCTGTGAGGGGATGTTTGGGGTTGGTGAGGATAAATTTCATTGACTGTTCAGCTGTGATCCTGGATTTGTAAGTCCAAACTGTGCTTGGCCAAAGTTACCTGTAATCACACAAATGAGCCTAGCTAAACCTCATTAAATATATTTTCTACAACCTCAAGAGCTTAATAGATTTTTAGTTATATTATAATTAAGACGCTGCATAGGACAACTTGGGCCAACACTAGTGCTCTGAATGAGGTTTTTAAGTGATAAGGGGATAAGGATACTTGGTGTGCACACAGCCAATGTCCTATAGCAACTTCTCCTCTGATCTAAAACTCTGAGAAATGTTCTCATTGTAGTTGTCCTGGAATTACATGTTTTTCTACTTGGTAAACATAGTGCCCAAAAGGGAAGGATTGGTATCTATTACATATATTATAAACATGATTTCTTAGAACCCATGGGATCTGGGTTAAAAGTTTTTGGTCAGTGTTTTTAGCTCTGTTTGACTTTATGTCTGCACTTAAGAAGGGGCCATATTTTAGCAGAGTGGATGTGGTATTTCTCACAGACTGAGTTTCTTTTAAAAGGGCTGTGTTCTGTGTGAGTTAGAGTGAAATGTGCCATATAAACATAGGAGACAGTCTTAAGCCAAGAGACACTCTAGTTTGGAGCCTGTACTACACTCCTTGATTAGGCCTTTGAGGGACTTGGAAATGAAACTGAATTCCTCAAAGCTAGTGTGAATAGCATGGGCAGAAAAGGGCATAAAGGGAAAGAAGCACATGGTGAAGAGTGACCTGCCTTCTTGTACAAGCTACAAACTCTGACAGGCAGAAGAAATCCTGCTTGGTCACCTGAGTCTGACAGGAAGGTAGGGAATTCCCACTGCAGTTTTCATTTTTGGCCAGCCAGAAGAATTACAATTTCTGTAGCATCCCTACCATGGAAAGAGCCCCATGTCTGCCAAGTTATTGGAGAATGACCCGGTCTTCAGAAATCATAGACTCATAGAATCACAAGGTTAAGGGATGGAAGGGACCTTGAAGATCATCCAGTCACAACCCCCTGCAATGTGCAGGGACACCTCCCACTATCTCAGGTTGCTCAAGGCCTTATCCTTTACCTGGCCTTGGACACTTCCAGGGTTGGGGTAGCCACACCTTCTCTGGTCAACATGTCCAGATGCTTCAGAGCTCCCACTAGGAGCAGTATCGATGTCACTGGGACACCTCTGCTCAATTTTGACCTCTTTTCAGCAATTTTGCTCACACCTGGGGCCATGGTATGTCTGCTTTTGGCCACCAAGCCTCCCGAGTGTCTGTGCTGGGCAGAGTGGGGTCCCAAGGGCCTTCTCTCTTCATGCCCAGCACAGTGTCTGACAAGACAGGGCTTCCCTCCTTGCATTATGCTGTGCAAATAGGGATGGGGGGTATTTCCTCTCTTCCCTGTGGAAATAGGGATGTGGGGGTACTTTCTCCCTTCCCGTGGAGCACCTGGCCCTGGTCACTGTCTGGGACAGGCTGCTGGGAGGGTGAGGCACTGCTCTGCTCCAGCGCTGTTATGCTGACATTGCTGTCTCCCTGGTGGGCTGTAGTCCTGTGATATCTTTCCAGCTGGGAACATGCCCAGGACAGAGTTTTAGCACCATCTGCCACTTGAGTTGTTTGCAGCTTTGGTGTAACATTACCAAAAATAAGGCTGTTTGAATGAAACAAGTGTTGGGAAATGAGCTGTCTCTCTCCTGCTCTCTTTATCTCTCCCCACTGAGGGTGGCGGAGTGTGCAGCAGAAGGAGCAGAGGAGTCTGGTGAGGGCTGAGTGGGCACAAGCTCTCCCTCTTCTCCCTTCTGCTCCCTGTCAGGGAAACAAAAATCCTTATACCTCCCAGAACATGCTGGCTGCGGGATTTGTAATTTTCTCTTCTTCACCCCACCATTCCCTCTCCCCTGTCCCGCCACGGTCCCTTGTCCTGACCCTGCATTCCCTTGTCCTTCCCCCTTGCCACACGGTCTGGTCCCTGCCCCCCCCCACCACCTTCCCCCTCGACACGAGGTTTGTCCCCTCCCCGCCCCCCCCACCCCTGCCTTTCCCATCACTGTCCCTGGGGTCTCTGGGGTTTCCCTGCCCCTGTCCTGTTCCCATTGGCCATGGCTCATGTTCCCCCCCACGCCTGGCATGGGGTATAACCAACCCCTGGTTGGTGCCCCGGTGGTCTCAGGAACACGCATCCATAATAAACACATGTCTCTACCCAAGTTCCGTGTCGCTATTTCGTCTGTTCCCGTGCTAGAACTGAGCCTCGCAGAGCCGAAGGGGAAAGCGGCCACCGCCTCTCCTCTCCTCCCACCGTGCTCCTGCAGGCACCTGCCCAGAGCCGGTGTTGCATGGCAACAAATTGTAGCAGAGGATGGTTGTTTCCATTGATTTGTGAAACGGGGGAGAGAGAAAGAAATTCTGCTGCCGTAAGAGCTCTGCAGACACTAAGAGGAGTGACGTGCCGGGTGGAAAACAAAACCGAAGCTCTGGGGACCCTCTTCCGTCCTCGCCGGTGTGCTCTCTACCCTGCCCGGGAGCAGCTGCACTGCGGGGGCAGCCGGACTGCAGGGGCCGGGAGCCGGGTAGACTTACCCGAGGAACAAAGAGGACAGTTTGGCAGTGGCTTGATGAACTGAGCTCGAAGAGTAGCCCATCAGAGGACAGCATCTGAATGGAGACCAGAGGCTGACAGTGGCCGAACCCAGAGTTTCAGGGACGAACTCTGGTTAACAGGAACATCCAGGCTTCTGGGAGAGCCAAACCATGAAGGAATACGTCCTCAGTTCAGCGCGATGTTCCACCACCGAGGAGAGAGAGAGAGATTTCACCACCTGAGCCCAGAAGGTAAGTTGGGTCAGAGCAGGGTGGGACCCTGGTGGGTGGCTGAGCTACATTTTTTTCTTTTTTTGTGTTTTAACCACCGTCCATGCCCAGACGGGGACTGTAGCTTTGCATGTCCCTGGCGGCCGGGAGGCTTTTCCTTTTCCGAGGAGGACGCAACCTTGCTCGGTCTTTTTGGGGTAACTCATACTGGAAAGCTCCTTCTCTTTCTCGGAAAGCTGCCTTTTCTACCCTCTCCTCCCTATTCTGGGATATGGGGGCAGGGGGGGTCAAAAGGACACCAATGAGACAGAATTGTAGATGGCAACTTATCAGCTATGGGAGAATTGTTAACATCCTAAGAGAGGTCCTTCGCATCCATGCATTTTGTTGGCTTCCAGCCGCATTGGGCCCCTCTCCTGTAGTTTTCCCCCTCAGCTTCTGTGAAGCTTCCCCTTCCCTTTTCCCCACAGACTTCCCCAAACCTTCTCCCTTGGGGATGGCCGCGGCCAAGCTGTTCCAAGAACCCTGCCGGACACTGTTATCCTCCCTCAGGGGTGGCATTGGCCGTGCCTCCCTGGGCGAGATGCAGTGCACCTGGCACCCCCTCCCAAAATGGCGCTGGCCACACTACAGGGATCCCATTTTCCCACCGTAACCCTTCTCTTCCGCTCAAGTTTTCTCGCCAGCCCCACCCCTCCCCCCAATGGCCCTGCACCATCCTGCAGTGGGCCAGCCCCTACTGGGTGGGAGGTGAGGTTGGATTAATCCCTCAGTCCCTCTTCTAGCCCCCCCTCTGATGGGAGGGATTGCTGGAGGGGCCCCTCCATTAGAGGACCTCCCTTTGTAAGAGAGCTTTCCCCTTTGCTGCGGGGGGGGGGGGGGCCCTTTGACGGGAGTGGAGCTGGAAACCCGGATCAGAGCTCCACTGTTTCTTTCCCCTGAAATGGTGGTGCCCAGGTTCACCCTTTATCCCATCTCCTAAATGTACCTTGCCCAAATTTCCCTTATACAAGTTTTCCCCATTGCTTGTGATAATTTGGAAATAACTTTTTGGATTGAGTTCTATCTTATAGAAGGAAAGATCATCCTAATTACTGCCCACAATGCTATGCCAACTTCGAAATCAAATAATCAAATTGGAGAAACCACGTCGCTGTTTGCTGCCTGCCTCTGCTCTGCTAGAATTCAAAAAACCACAAGCATTGCATCATGAATCCTGCTTTCATCCTCGAAACAGAATGTGTTTATGATAATTTTGTACCCTTTATCTTAAATTGTAAAGTGAAAAAGATTTTTGCCCCATTCATTGTAACTATGATTGCTGTATCACTTTCTGATGTCTCTCGACTTACATTTTCTCAGTAATTCGTAATGTTGCTAATTTGTTTTTACCTCAGAACTCCCTTTCCTTTATGTAAATTAAAAAGATTGAGCTGTGGGATTTGTAATTTTCTCTTCTTCCCCCCCCCCTCCCCCCACGGTCCCTTGTCCTGACCCTGCATTCCCTTGTCCTTCCCCCTTGCCACACGGTCTGGTCCCTGCCCCCCCCCACCACCTTCCCCCTTGCCACACGGTCTGTCCTTGCCCCCACCCCCCCTGCCTTTCCCATTGCTGTCTCCGGGGTTTCCCTGCCCCTGTCCTGTTCCCATTGGCCATGGCTCATGTTCCCCCCCGCCCCTGGCACGGGGTATAACTGACCCCCGGTTTGTGCCCTGGTGGTCTCAGGAACACGCATCCATAATAAACACGTGTCTCTACCCAAGCCCCGTGTCGCCATTTCGTCTGTTCCCGTGCTAGAACTGAGCCTCGCAGAGCCGAAGGGGAAAGCGGCCACCGCCTCTCCTCTCCTCCCACCGTGCTCCTGCAGGCACCTGCCCAGAGCCAGTCTCGCACGGCAACAGCTCATCAAAAAACCCGTCCTGATTTCCTTTGCCAAAAGGAACTCTCAGGTTCAGGTTCCCACCCCTTAACCCATCACCTCACACATTGAAAGAGAAGAAGGGAATCAGGAGCCGAACACGACATTAATCAGATTAGGACCTTTCTTGGGACACCATTACTTTTACTTCTGTTTCCCTGTTTCAGTTACTTACCTCATCTCTCCTAAACACCAGGGGCAGTATCCCAGACAATGGTCTGTAACTTCCTTCACAGCATAGATTTTCTAGTCTCCAGCCCAAATGTTTACTTGTAGTTCCGGCTAGTCCCCAGCTGAAGCAGTTAGTCATTTGGCTGGATATCTTTGTACTGTTTGTACTTTCATCAGGGGCTGCAGCAAGCCTGCACTGTCAAGGGAGACAGCAGTTTTTTTTTATCCTGTGTCCACATTTTGAGTTCTGAAACAGCTCAGCTGGGACAAGTTAAGTCTACAGGGCATGTGCATTGCTGCAGAAGTGTCAAGGAAGATTAAAAACAGGCACAGAAGTATGACTGCTAGAGAAACCCCCAGAAAATTCTAGAGGGGGGCCTTTTGTCTTGGTGCAAGGTAGATGGACATTACAAACTCTGAGCAAAAGACCACCTTCATCTGCTGCTTTTCCATTCCCACAGTGTGTCTTTAGGTTACAGGCTGGGTATTCGTGCTTGGTAGTAAAAGACAGAAGCCCATTTTTGCCTGTAATAGAGAAAAAAAGGAAGAGCATTCAGCTATCTATTCAGGTTAGAAAACACCATGGCAGTGGTGATGTAATCAGTTTATTAGCACGGGTGTGTAATGGAAATGCCACAGCAAGGCTTCTTGCACTGCTGCCCCTGGGTTCCCTGTCTGGCTGAGCAGAAGAGATGGATGAGAAGTGACATCAGCATTGTTTTGTTAGAAGAGGAGGGGTTGGAGAACTGAGCAGTGGGAGGCTGGACCAGCCTTCTGGCATTTCAGAGTATTAAGGCAGAGGCAAAGGAGGGAGTGTTTCACATGGCACATCATGAGCAACGAGGAGTCAAAGGCTGGGACAAAAGGAAAGTTTAGTCTCAGTCTCAGGAAAGATGTTCTGTCAGCTACTATATTGTTGACTGCTTTTCCAGGGAAAATCATAAGGACAGGATTTTTTAAAACAAAATGGGATAAAGAATGAGAAAATTCACAACCCAAACCAGTCCTAAACTGGCTCCCGCATGAACAACGGATGTTCCTTCCCTTCTTTCCTGACCTGTTGTTCTTGCTCCCAGCTAATTCTTCCCTTTAACCCCTGTTCATAAGAACAGCCACAGTGTCACTTATGCCTGTGGATGTGACATGTCTCCTGCTTGTCCCACTCCCCCTCTGCTCGATGCTCTCCAATCTCCTTACTTCCCTTGCTCTCTCGTCCTCTCCCACTCTGCTGCCTGCCACCAGGGTCCAAACTTCTGGGGACCTCCTGCTTCTGCTTTCATCTCTCCCCCAAATTTCTGTGAATTTCTCAGTGTGGATGACTGCAGTGTTCCTATTCATGGGTCACTGGCCAGGAGACAGAGTTTTCATCCCTGTAGCTACATGAACCTGGCTAGGAGCAGAGAAGGCTGTGATCCATACTTTGCTTATATGAAGAAGCTGAGAGGCAGCCAAGAGAAGAGGTTTACTTGAAGTGGGATGCAGGAATGGACTGACTCAGTTCTCTGGTATTCCATCCCAAATCCTTTCCACTGGCTCATGGTTCCTGCACTCCTGCCTGACCTATTTGTCAGGAAAGCCTGTAATGTGAGAACACTCCCACCATGTTAGGCAGTACAGAGGAAACAACACGATAAAGAGGGAGATCAGACTGAGGTGTGAGGCTGGAAACTTCCCACTTCCCTCTGGATCAAGCATTTAAACCATTGTTGCCATTTCTTGCAACAAAAGACACGTCACTAAACAATAAAAAAGGCACATGTAGCATTATTTACCAATTAAGGAAGTTGGAAGTCTCCATAAAACATTCCCTGGATTTGAAGTAATCATGTTTTTCAATGGAATATTAAAAAAAAAAAAAAAAGACACACAGCATCTTTCCTGAAGTCTAGGCAAGAGGCACATATTTATTTGCAGTAGCAGCACAGACAGTACTGACTGTAACTAAGTGAGAATGCTAAACAGACCCAGTTTCCTTGCTGGCTTCTGAAAACAGGGATAAATTCTCCTGCAGAAAAAAGACAGATGGTGTGGGCATTGCTGAGATCCTGGCTTTCCAGAATCAGGAAGCTGTACAAATCTGGAGGTTCAGCGTGAAAGATTGTTAATTAATTATTATCATTGTTAGGATGTTGTCATGCTCTGTCAGTGGTGCTGAGGTCTGGCAGAAAGCTCAACCCTATGGCCAGGCAGGGTATTTCTGGCATGGGACTAATTTATCCTCTCCAGATGACTCATGTGCTATTTCTTATGCAGTGGAAGAGCAGTCAGGCTGCTGTTGTCACAGAGGTAGGGAATGCTAAAAAGGATTAGAAAGCAGGATCTTTTACAGTTCTTCTGGAGCATTGGATTGTGCTGTCAGAGCATGAATCAAGCAGCATGAAGGTGGTGAATAGGCGCAGGTGATTAGACAGGGAGATGAATCAGTGGAAGGCTGATTGGTGGCCAGACTGGGGAAGAAGGCAAACTGAAGAAGGTCAGTGAAAGTAGAAGCACAGAGGGAGAGTGGGAATAGAGCTGGGAGGTCTGGTTGTCTTGCTGAGAAACAGAGATGAGAGCTACTTTAGCTAAGTGGGAAAAAAAAGGCCTAGAACAGGAAACCAGAAAAAGAAAAGGGATAAAACAGGACAACACAGGGAGGAGCTTGTCTAATGGTTTGCAAGAAATACCTGTCCGTGGAGAACAGTCCCCTCAAACCTAGAAGGGAACCAGAATTTGTTGTTCTCCTCCAGCTGACAAGTCTCAGTGAAACCTGAGGGCAGCATGTCCTGTCTGTCTGTGGTACAGGGACAACTTTTTGACTACCTGATGCTTAGTTCATGTGACAAAAGTGTCCTGGGCATTGGGAAGCTTTTTTACTATGAGGCAGACTGACCACTGGCACAGGTGGCCCAGCTGGGTTGTAGAGTCTTCATTCTTGGAAATATTCAAAAGT